AGTTGGTACCTGATGTCCAAGCAAGGTTTACTGAAGTGTCAAGATCTTCACATACTTTCTGATAAATTGATCCTCCAAATTCTGTTCCATCATTGCTATAAGATATTTTAAATTAATTAGTAAATCTAGAAGACAATGTAATATGTTTAAGGCATTAGGCTGACATTGTAGCATTACAGTTAAACAAAAGCAATTGCTCACATGCGTCTCTAACGCTCCACTTAAAACTTTCATTTTAAAAGGTCTTGTCCCAATAAAAAATAAAAATAAATTTAAAAAAAAAATAAAAGGTCTTTTCCCCAACCTATGTTCACAAACAAAGACTGGACAAATAAATGATGGTATATCCATCTAGTGGAACTAGCCTATAACCACTAACGCTGCAGAGTACATAATAAATACTACAGGAAAATCACAATGTATTAAGGTACAAGGAAAAAGGCTTATCAAATAGCCTTTCCAGATATTTCAATGTAATTTTATGTATATACACATATAAAAAGGTAAAACACCAAAACATTAACAATTAACAAAGATTATATGTACTTAGGTGGTAGGATTATGGGAAATTCTGGTTTTCTTCTTTGTACTTATATTATTTACCAATGCATTATTTTTTATATAAGGGGAAAAAATTCTTTTTAAGTCTTTTCAACATATCTAAGTTGGGTTAGGTAAAAACACCACACATTTTAGGCAAACCTATCAAATCAGCACCTCACACATCACAATTAAGTCAAATGAATGCACTAGTTGAGTCTGGCAATGTCTTAGCTTCTTCTAAAAATACAAAGCACATCAAGCCTTGTATGAAATGAACATTTACTCTCAGCGCCAAAAGTCAGACTAACATTTTCACTATATACTTTTGAGGGCTACCCTAGAAATGCCCAAAGATGACCTTTTTATGTTAAGAGAAATGTTTAGGTTCAACCTAGATTAATATAAAATGACAAGAGACATCATAATCATCTGAGGTCCATCATAACATCCCACAAAAGAAATACTTACACATTAGTGTGTAGCTGGAAATCTCCAGTCCTGTAGCCCACTGCAAAGTTATTCCTGGTCAGCTTTGATTTGGCACTGTCAAAGGTCATCTGGTACCCAGCAAGCCAGCCCTCATANCAGAGGTTTCTTTCAGCTGGATTAAGCCTCCAACTCCAGGGCAAGCCCAAGTTTGTGGCCTCCAGCATTAATGCTCTTCCCATCTACCAGAGCAGACAGTGTAAGCTTCACACCTGTAAACAAAAGCAGACAACCATGATGTGTGTGAAACACCTCAGGAGAATGCAGTCTTCTTTAATAATCGCCCCTCTGCCTGTCACTTTTCCTTAGCCTGTCAAATGACCTATTAGTTCCAGCCACCAGAGGGCACCTGGGAGTATCTGAGATACCAGACAGAATTCAGTAGGCGCCATCCCAGGTAAGGCATCAAGTCACAGAGCATAAAAACGGTAATAATAAAGTTCAAAGTGCTCTCAAAAATACAATAATGTTCAATACACTATCCAAACTGAAAGAGACTACAACAATAACTGGATCCTGGAAAAGGAAAAACTATAATAAAGAAACATTTGGGGGACAAGTGGTGAAATCAATAGACTATAGTGCATACTAGGTATTATTAATGCTAATTTTCTTAGCTGTGATAACGGTATTGTAATTATGAAGAACTAAGTCTTACTCTTTGGATATGCATGCTAGGGCTGATGTGTCTACCTATCTGGAAAACATCCATTTAAATAATTCACATGGGCATGTGAAAAAAAGATTATGTATAATAGACATGGAAAGATAAAACAAATGTGGTAATTGGTGAGTGTGGGGAAGGGCAGATGGGTGTTCATGGTAATATTCCTTAGGTTTAAAAATAGTCAAAATATAAAGTCTGGGGGGGAAATCCCTATTTGGAGGAGGCAAAAGTTCCAAGTGTTTTAGAACCCTGCTATCCAAGTGGTTCAAGAAGCAGGGACACAGGCATCATCTAAGAGCTCGTTAGAAAGACAGAACCCCTCAATCCCAGACCTAGGGATCAGAATCTACATTTTAACAAGATCCCCCAGGTGACTCATGCACACACTGAGGCTTGAGAAATACTGCTCTAGAAAACACAGCAAGGCTCAAAATACTACGTAAAGTAAATGAGATTAGAGAGATCCAACAACCAACAACCAAAGCAATGAGTGAGCTTTGATGAAAGAAATAAAAATTACTAGAAGATATTTCAGGTACAACTAAGGAAAGTGACTAGAGAATGGATACTAAATAATAATATTGCATCACTCTTAATTTCCTTGGGTGTGATACTGGAATTGTGATTAGGCAAAACAGGAGAATGTTCTTATTCTGAGATACATGCTTAAGCATTTAGAGAAGTGTCATGATAGCTGCACCTTCCAAACAGCCCATCAAAAAGAGGGGGGATGAAGGGCAGGAGGGAAAAGGAATACAAAATTGTGGCAAAAAGTAAACGTGTTCACTGTATTCTTGTCTGCAAAATAAGCCAAAAAATGAAAACTAATTTTTAAAACAGTATCAGAAAAATCCTACTTTATCATGAATACTTACCAGGCCTCAGAGTCTGAGTGTAGCCCACTCCAATTAAACTAGAGTTGTTGACTTTTGCCTAAAATAAAATGCACAAACAACTTTAAGAAAAATTTTTGAAAGGAGACAAGGTCCCTACATGTTTCCTTACCATACAATTATGAAGTGTTCAGCCTTTTATTCACATGACAATAAAATTTAATGTTTATTCAGGCAAACAAAAACAGGTGCTACTTAATTCTTATCCATTAAAATCAAATTGTCAGGAGGACACAATACTCTTGGTATCTACTGGCATGTGTCTACAAGACCCCCAAAATGTCCACATAACACAAGAGCCTAAGCATTCTCATAAGTAAATTGTGCTTTTTGAGTCTAACCTAGCACAACAAAACCATGCCAAAATGTGGCTAATGGAAGTCCACCAGGCTCACTAGCTATGAGACACACACCAGCCTAAAGTGTGGGGTGTGAAGTTTAAATCCGTGATTTTGACACACACGTTACTACTTTCAGGGGTCTTCCTAAAGAATCAAAACCTTCAATGTTCAAATTCTCCAAATGTCAAGCACTTTCTCTAAGAATAATATCAACTAAAAATCCTTTACCTCACATTCCCACACCTCTCATGAATAGCCCTGGGTCCTGGCTGTACGGAACTAGACTGCACTTGAGAAAATGTTCCAACGGGGCATCATTACCAATCCAGGTCCCTGCCCTCCTTGTGCAATTCTATTATTTTAGGATTTAGTCACAGACCTTCACAGGCTGAAAGGAGCCCTGGAGAACAAGACATGAGGAGGGGTAGCTCCATTCTCTCCTACTACTAACACCATTAAGCCACTCCACAGGCCTATGGCTGTAAATGGGCCTAGGTCTCCAGGGCCTAGGTTGCTCTTTGTTCTTCAGCATTTTGAGTGCTGTGGTAAAAAGGAAACGAACAGCCTCTGGCATCATAACAGATTTGGAAATGATCTGATGTCTACACTCTTTTATAATGTGTAACATCAAAACAGCCCAATCCAGAAAGAGAAATGATGTAACTGTACAGGCAAAAGTCACGTAAACAGCACTTCTATTCACTTGGCGTTATAGCCACCTCATGAGCCACCAATGACCATGTGAGTTAACTGTCTCGGGAAGAAATGCCCCACCAGTGACCATCGTGTGCCCAACAAATTAAGATCCTTGGAAAGCTGGATGCAAGTTCCCACTATGTTAGACTGGGAGTCAACCATGAAGCTGGGATGGGGCACGAAGCAATGCTCTGGGTGATCCTGAGCAGGAAAAGCAGCACTGCTCAGGCGGAAGTGCTGGGTACACTGCCAAACAGTCTCCAGGAGTCACTCGACGACTGGCAGGTCCCAAACTCCCACCCACTTTAAGATGGTGAAAGAGCAGCCCTTCTGCTGGCATTAAACCCGTGATGGCTGCAGACACACATCTGATGGAGCAAGGCAGCTACCCGAGAGCCATGTGCGTGGGACCCTGAGGTCTGACTGCTGCAGTGCAGTTAGACACAGAAGGGAAGACATATGAGTAACTGTCAGCGGGAGCAGCATTCTGGGTGCTGCTCGTTCTGATTCCAACTGTGCTAAAATAAAACAAGATCGGGGCAGAAACGTAGCTGCCTAAATTATCAAACCACTGTCCTCAGAATGAAAGTCCCTTTATGCAACAAATAATTCTCCCGGCAGATTTCACTTCTTTCATTCGCAGTACATACAGTACAGGCAATCCCCGACCTGTAAACAACTGACACACAGGAACAGCTGCTGATCTGCCTGAAACCGGAGCCAGCCCCTCTACACCCTGAGACATTGCACTCCCTTCTACCCTAACCCACTGTGCCTGAAGGAAGAAAGAGCAGAAGAGCCCAAGGACAGGACTAGGGTTGCCATCTGACTCAGCTAGCCTGGGATGGGGGGGGCGGGGGGCACATCCTCGGGACGCAGGACTTCCAGTGCTAAAGCTGAAACAGGCCCAGGCAAAGCAGGATGAGCTAGCTGGTCACCCTAAATGGGAGGGAAATCAAAAGACATGCAGTCTAGTCCCAGCTCTACCCCTCCTACCCTCCCCCTGCCTAGCAGTGGTGTTAAGTCCTTTCTCTCCAAGTTTTGGTTTCTTCACATGCAAAATGGCATGCGTACTACTGAGCACCGAGATCAAATCTGAAGATATTTTGTAAACCATACAAAGTCAAAGTAACAAATGAAGTACTTACCTCCCAACAGGAATGAGAACTGCCCAGGACCCAAAACACTGGCTTCCCTGGGCTTAGACAAGCTTGGGCTCAAGGTTGTTATCTATACACTTTTAAGATTAAATTTAAAAAATTTCCTATGGCCTGAATATCAAACGTCTAATACTGTCTCCATAGCAAAAAAAGTATTCAAAGTTCTAATCCCAATCTCTGTGTGAACTGGGGATAGTATGAATCACAGCTCAAATTGTCAACACAATTCAACATACCTAAAGATTAATTCCCACATGCCCAAACCCCATTCACTTATTCTAAGCCCACAGTAGTACTCACCGAAATGGAAGCAGTGGGATCCAACTTATATTTAGCTGCAATGCCGAACCGAGTGCAGTTGGTACCTGATGTCCAAGCAAGGTTTACTGAAGTGTCAAGATCTTCACATACTTTCTGATAAATTGATCCTCCAAATTCTGTTCCATCATTGCTATAAGATATTTTAAATTAATTAGTAAATCTAGAAGACAATGTAATATGTTTAAGGCATTAGGCTGACATTGTAGCATTACAGTTAAACAAAAGCAATTGCTCACATGCGTCTCTAACGCTCCACTTAAAACTTTCATTTTAAAAGGTCTTGTCCCAATAAAAAATAAAAATAAATTTAAAAAAAAATAAAAGGTCTTTTCCCCAACCTATGTTCACAAACAAAGACTGGACAAATAAATGATGGTATATCCATCTAGTGGAACTAGCCTATAACCACTAACGCTGCAGAGTACATAATAAATACTACAGGAAAATCACAATGTATTAAGGTACAAGGAAAAAGGCTTATCAAATAGCCTTTCCAGATATTTCAATGTAATTTTATGTATATACACATATAAAAAGGTAAAACACCAAAACATTAACAATTAACAAAGATTATATGTACTTAGGTGGTAGGATTATGGGAAATTCTGGTTTTCTTCTTTGTACTTATATTATTTACCAATGCATTATTTTTTATATAAGGGGAAAAAATTCTTTTTAAGTCTTTTCAACATATCTAAGTTGGGTTAGGTAAAAACACCACACATTTTAGGCAAACCTATCAAATCAGCACCTCACACATCACAATTAAGTCAAATGAATGCACTAGTTGAGTCTGGCAATGTCTTAGCTTCTTCTAAAAATACAAAGCACATCAAGCCTTGTATGAAATGAACATTTACTCTCAGCGCCAAAAGTCAGACTAACATTTTCACTATATACTTTTGAGGGCTACCCTAGAAATGCCCAAAGATGACCTTTTTATGTTAAGAGAAATGTTTAGGTTCAACCTAGATTAATATAAAATGACAAGAGACATCATAATCATCTGAGGTCCATCATAACATCCCACAAAAGAAATACTTACACATTAGTGTGTAGCTGGAAATCTCCAGTCCTGTAGCCCACTGCAAAGTTATTCCTGGTCAGCTTTGATTTGGCACTGTCAAAGGTCATCTGGTACCCAGCAAGCCAGCCCTCATAACCAAAGACAGCTGACCCATGGATTGCAGGTCCAGCAAAATCAAAGTCAACATCACAACCGAGGTTTATACACTCCCTCTTGTAAGAAGACTTGATTTTACCACTTTTCTTTCTGGAAAAAGAACAAACTGACTTAAAACTGATGCCAGTGAGAAAGATTTACATGCAGAGGGCACAAAACAGACTTAAATGAACTGTAGTATAACTGGAATAAAAGAAGCAGCAGGGTAATTATAAAAGGTAAAAACTAGCTCACGATATAAAAGACAAGGGCACATGGGGTAATTGGACTGCCCCTGCCACCAACACAGGAAGGCTGCATTGCAAAACTGGCAATTCATCACAAAAGCATGTTCAAAACACGTTAATTACCCAAGTTAGTGCCACAATGACAAGAGGCAAATATCTGATGGCAAGCCAATGATAGCAACCATAGTGCTTGTGTTCAAAAAGGCAGAAAGAGAAATTCACCACAAGGCGGCTGGGTAAGGTATCCAACAGTAAATATGCATCTTTCCCAAATACACAGAAGACGAATGCTTTTCCATTTAAAGCAGATAAAAATGTCCATGCTTACCCTGTGTTTGGAGAAAAGGTGGTATCAAATGTCAGCTTCAAACCTTGACAAATCTATTTTGAAAGAAAAAAATCTGTTTTCAGCTGTATTTCCTTTATGAACTACAAAAATAAATAATACTAAAGCACATTTTCAAAATGTTACCTGGTCTTCAATTGCGATTTCTGTTCCCAGAGTGTTATCAGTGTTCCATTTCTCTGTGAAAGTCAGGCCATACTCACACCATTTATATTTGGTCTCCAAGGTCCCAGTAACTTTACCAGTGTCTGTATTAGATGAACCTGATGTTGAGAATTCCTAATAAGACAATAAATAACTTCATGAACTTTCTCATAAGCATCAAAGAATCCATTGCCTAACTTAAACAAAAAGCAAACCCCCTGAAATACTTAGTAACTTCACTAATCCTTTTTTCTAGCTTGCCAAATATTCCTACCCTCTGCTACTGAGTATAATATACAAGAGTGACAAATTAACCTGTTAAGTTACTAACTGCCACCTTACTTACAGCTGACATTTCTAACCAATCAATCACAAGTTAATCTGTATCTAATTCTCAAGTGAAAAACAAACTGTACACCTTTCAAGGAAACTTATAAGGTGATTTTATTTGAGATTCAAAAACAGCGGGGGGGGGGGTGGAAAAAAGAATGAATGTTTTGACACTGTATTCAATCTGATACTGGATAAAACAGTAAATAAGTCACTATGGATAATCACAAATCCCATCATTAAAATCAGAGCTTATAATAACACATACTATTATTTATTATGAAATGTTTTCTGGAAGTACTCCACTGTAGGAATTCATGCTATAAACAAATAAATGTTTTTCTAAATTCTTAGGTAATCCCAATATTCTGTTTCTCTGAGATAAAAAGTCTGCACCGGCTTTCATGCCTTTCCAACCATCTTTCACACTTTCATTAAAAAAGAGAAAAAAGTAGGGGGCGGGAATTATAGACTTAGTTCTACAACTGGTTTATATCATGCATAATATACTATATATGCGCAATAGATGATATCAATAGGGAAAAAAAATCTAGTACAAGGATCAATTTGAAGTGCATTATATAATCTTATATTTGTAGCAAATATAAATAACTTGCCAATCCCTAACTGCACACCAACTGAAAAAGAAGACATAATATGGAGGAGGGCATATCTGAAATTTAAAATCTGCTACAGATAATCCAGCAATCTGATATTTTTTCAGAGCTCAGTATCTATACAGGCAGGCAATTGAAATCTTCCAAGATAAAATATTAAAAAGCCTTCTGAGGGTTCTGATTCACAGTTTGTCTGCTAATAATGGCTATACCCTTTGGCCACTGGAAAGACAAGACTAAAGAAGGTGGCCGATCTGAACTATGAAGAGAACTTCAATCTGAAATTAATACCTGCATAGTGAGGAAACATCAAAAACTGCAATAGGATAAAAGGCCAATCACCCTTCACTCAGAAAATAGGACATCTGTGTAACTATTGCTCTGCAGTAAAATAGACTCAAATCCTTAGGTCTTACACACGATCTCCTGAAATTAAATGCTTTCATTAATAGGACTTTCCAGTCAAAGCTTGACACTTAACATCCATACTAAAAAAGAACACTGGGTTACATTAAGAAAGAACACTGGAAAAAAAATTGAGTCCTGGCATCCATTTCTGTAGTTTACTGAATGAGTAACACAAAGGAAGACATTTAACTTTTCTGCTACTTGGTTTCTTTAATTATAACAAAACCTATCTCTAGAGGATTAAACTGGGCTGATGCTGAAAGCTTTGCATATATTCATGTGCTCTACACAAAAGGAAGGCATTGTTAAAACAATAAATATGGAGCATGTTCTTCTAGCAGATAGTTCCAATGAGGAATGTGTATGAGTAGCTATTTTAATTCCTGAGTGACAATGACTAATGATTCTTGAGGCTCCACCCACTGCCATCCATCAACCCATAGAGAACCAGCCTATATACATGCCAAAGAATCCTTAAGATATAAAACCAAGATCACACTGTGGGACCAAAACTGAGTCAGATAACACCACTGGCAGAGCTTACACCCTTCACTCCATCAGCCGACCTTTAGGCTTCTATACTCTGGGATGGACTGGACATCTCTGCAGTTCAGGTGAGAAAACAGCCAGCCATTAATGAGATTTATTTGGGGCCAGGCACATATTACAACATCAGTACCATGCTTGTTGAATTACATACATTAAATGGAAACAAAAATATACTGTGCCTAATCCATTTCCTATACGTCCATGATCTTAAACCTAATTTCATAAAACTTTCCTTAACCCTGTCCACAATAAGCCCTTCATTTCCAACAAAGATTTTGATTTATCAAACAATCTAATATTAGATATATTTCTCTAATTTTCCCCAGTTTAAAATTTACTTTGTCTCTCCAATGAGCAAATAAGTTTTTTAAACACAGGACTGAGTCTTTTACTTTTTTTTTTTAAGGCCTTTTGTGTTTCCACAAATACACAGCAAGTGTTTATAAGGTGCCTCAGCATGTTAAAAGTGGGAATACAAAAAATAAACATGAAGTCACTACTCTGAAACCTGTTACATTAAGCAAGTAAGTCAACTCAACCACCTGAATGATCAGGCTTCCTTTCAGAGCAAAGAAAACAAATGACAGAAGACAAATGTAAAACCCCAGAAATCCAAGTCTAGGCATTAAAAACTATAACACAATTTATTTTAATACCAGTTACATGCACTAAGGGAATTAACAACTATAGCAAGAATTTATCAAAATAACCAATAATGCACACATTATACCCATCCCCATAACAATCTCAAAACAAAAATTTCAGAGGAAGAAAAGAAATTACACAAAACTAAAACTAAACTCCCTTTGAGGGAGTTTGTAAGGCAGAACCAAGACATCAAATACAAAATATAACCTCTTTAAAAAACTAAAATCAGGATTCTGTAAATTCACAAAATACATGGGGAAATCTTCGCCAAGGAGGGCTTCTAGAATATGACCATTATTTAAACAATTAGTACACTCAAATTAAGAGTTACTGAATAGGGCCGGCCGAGTGGCTCAGTTGGTTAAGAGCTCGCTCAAGAGTTTGAGCTCTGAGCAACGGCGGTTCGAGTCCAGCCCGAGCTGAGCAGCCGCTGAGCTGCCAATAGGTAGCAGGATGGCTCAGCTAAAAAAAAAAAAAAAAGAGTTACTGAATATTTGTATGCCCAGAACTCTTAATGCTTTTAATAAGCATCGAAAGAAAGGGTTATGAAAAAGTATAACAGGTTCCCTGCCTTCAAGCCTGTAATCTTACTGAATAAACAGTCTCACACGACCAGTGTTATTCCTGAGTTCCTTGTGCATACATAGTAATATGGCAAAAGACAACATGAAAAAAACACCAAAGCCAAAATAAATCAAGTTACATGCAAATCCCTTAAAATAAAATGAGCTTCTACCTCTTAAGATAAAATTGGTAGACATCTTTCAGTTATGACCATTTTATGGGTAGAAAATTACATAAAGGCTCATCAGAACTTATTAGATATCAAACACTCACCACACCACTGCATGACTTTGTTTTCACATCCAATTTCACCAACCCAAAACCTTAAAGTGGAGAGCAAATGATAATAAAATGATTCTCTTGTATAAAAATGCACACTAATAGGCTATACATTAAAAAAAAAAAGCCTAAGGTTTCCATTTCCAGGGGTGGAGGATAAAAATGTTGATACACAATAGTTAAATGAAAATTTTTCAATTATTCCATGTAAAGGACAGAACATCTCTATGCAGCTTTGCCTAGTATTTTGGTATATTATCAGGCACAAACAAACAAAAAAAAAAAAGAAAAAGCTTTCAAACAACTTTAAAACCTAAACATCAGATTGGAGAACTAATTCAGCTTAAATCTCAGAATAGCCAATAGTTTATTACAATAGACATTTAGAACACTTATCCCAAAGGTTCGTATCTTCCCCTTGGGATTAATAATCTAAATAACTGGAGAAATAATCTAAAGTGAAAGGAGGTGGACCAAAATAGTCAAGAAAAAACCCCGAGTTCACTTGAAAAAGCCCATAATCCGTCAGGAGTCACCACCACAAAAGTAAATTATTCATACATAATAGTAATAATAATAGTAATAGTTCTAGTTAACCAAGGCCTAAACTACATCTGAAGGAAATGAAAGCACTGCTGTTTTTTACTTAAAGGTAAAATCCTTGAACTATAGTTTGAAAATATTGGAGGAAATTGGGGTGGAGGGGGGATATGGACTGTTACAGAACTATTTTAACAGACATTTTATCTAAAAATGTATCTAATAAAAGAATTAATGCAACAAGATATTTACAATTTGAAGAAAATATTAATTTAATTTCCCTAAGCAATCCAAACACATATTTTCACTTCTGATCTAAAATTTTTAAAAAAAGTTCTTACCAAATCCTTTGTTGAAAATATCTCTGGCAGCTTTGCCAAGGTCAGCATATGATGGAGGAATACACATTGCTGGTGGGAAGAAACATTCCAATGTTAATGTTCCTTTCTCCCACTTTCTGTCCAAGAACTAGATTATGACCTACTGCTATCTTTAAATTCAAGCAATCCCACTTGTTGGAGATGTGTTTTTGATTCCACCAGAAGCTACAATGAAACTGTACTCTAACAATCCATGAAAAAAAATCGTTTTTAAAATAGATAACCACAATAAGTGACAATACAAACTTAGGAAATTCCTTCCAAAATAGAAAAACAGACTTTCTAGTCCTAAATTTACACAGTGCCTATAGCCTCACCTCCTAGGATCGGACTAGTACAAAAAAAAAAAAAAATCAAACACATACACATACATATCTATCTAGATGTATCTGCCAAAATCACTGGAATGCGATTTAACCAAATGAGATCAAATCAAAACCTAAGACAAGGCCTTCTCCCCCAATATATCCTTTAATATTCTCACCGAGGTGAAAACCAACATTCTGGAGTGGAAAAAGAAAAGTACATAATACTTTGGGAATTTAAATACTGGAACGTAGAAATAACACGGCCAGAATCTATGTTTCACTCAAGTGCCTACATCAACTAAATATCAAATGGCACCTTAAACATATTAACATGATGCTCAAGCCCTTAGCCAATACTGTGCGGCTTAAAGGCAAGCAATCTGAACTCCTAACACCAGCTCATTCATTCTACAAAGTGCGTCCACGCCCTTAGGAGCACGTGTAATGAATGACCTTGCGCTCTTACAAGCGGATTTACTACTTCCTCAAAAAAGTGTCTGATCCAATCCTCCAAAGACCGAATCCAACAATTAATAACTTTTTGCTTTTGAGTTCGTCAGACACGTCCAAAAGCTAAAAATGAGTGCGGCCACAGACCAACTTCCCAGGCCTAGTCCTTTTATAGGAAATCCAGCAGCCCAGCCCCAGCCCCTCCTCCGCAGAGCCAGGGGGTCAAGACGGTGGAGTGTCTACCGAAAAGGGCGAATTTCCAAGTCCTCGGAGAGATGGGGGGAAAGAAGCTGCGGTTTTCTGGTCGGCTTCGATCCCCGGACACCGCCGCCCCATCCCGCAGAGATGCCTGCTCTATACTTACGCCGCGCGCAGCTCTGTCCGTAAGTCGCCATAGCGAGGCCGCGGAAAGAGGTGATCTGCAGGAGGGACAAGAAGTGCGGTCAGCGAGAGTAAAAAGCGAGTCAAGGGGCCAGAAGGTCTCAGACAGAGGTGGGCGAGGGGCCGCGGGCCAACGCGGCCATCTTAGGGAGCCAGGGCCGACCCCGAGTCCGGCTCAGGCCGCCGAGGCCTAGGTCCCCAGGTCGGAGTGAGGCGGGCGCGGCGGTACCTAGTGGTCTCCTGAGGGGGTCCGCCGCCGCAGTTCCGCTCGAAGCTGAGGCCGCTCGGCTCGCTGTGGGTCGGGCTGCAGCTGCCGGGGCTGGAGGGCGAACTGAAGGAGACACCGTTCCGCCCGCCGCAACCCTGTCCTCCCCCCTCCAGGACCCCACCGCTGTCCCCGGGGCTGTCCACCGCGCCTGTCCCCGCAGTGCCGCTCGCTGCCCACTCCAACCTGCTCCGGAACGGCCACGTGGACCGAGGGAACCCCTGTCCCCAGGGTGGGCCGCCTCGGTCTGTCGGCTGGAGCCAGAAAAGCAGAAGCTGCCGGACCTCTGGTCAGGCAGCTACGAGGGCAGCCCCCGCGGCGAGGGGGCGGGGAACGGCGGACGCTACGCGGTGGGGACCACGAGGGCGGGGGATGGGGCGGAGGCCCCACGCGCGCTCGTCACCGGCGGGGCGGGGCACCAGGCGCGTGCCTGTGCGGTGCCCGGCGCTGCTGGGCGCGGCAACACGCCCCCGGGGGTCCAGTACGTGTCTCCTACTCCCTTTCTTGGCTGTTCCCAAACCCTGCAGACAATCCATGGTATAGGACGTCTGAAAAGAGTCAACTGAGCGTTATGCCCGTTTTCCCTGAGCAAGTGCAGCATGCGCTTCTGAAACAGTCTGTCTAGATCCAGGGATAAAGTAGTGGGCACAGGGGCACTACCTCCAGCCACTCGAGCCCTCCCTCCGCTTCCTAAGGCGGTGTAATTGCTACGCTGGGCGGCTCTCTCGGGCTGCCCCGCCCTGAACAAACTTGAGCACGTCTCAGGTGCCCCGCCCCTTTTCCTCGCTCACGCCTCAGGCTTCCTCTTATGCCGCCTCCTCCCGGTTTAGGGATGGGACTGCTTTACACATGCACAGAACCGTAGCTGTCTTGGTGAGGCAAGCCTGCTAGAAAATTTAGGAATCATGCTGACCAGGCATGAGAACGCTGTATGTACTCAGGCTCCCTGGGTGTGTAGAAGAGTGAGGGAGCCAAAGAAACAAGAAAAAATGAGTCGTCTATTGAGATAGAAATGGAGTCAACCGAAGCTCCAGAATCAATCGCCAATCTCAGCAATTTATCCCCTCTGTTTCCTCATCTATAAAATGACAAGTTTAAATGATGTGAAGTGGTCTTTAATAGCCATTCAGCCGTACACTATGAAAACCTCCCCTGATTTCCTCTGGTTCTAAAAGCCAATGTTCCACCCTTCTCCTAAACCAGGAAAAGGATAGCTAGATAGACTTCCACAATCCAAACCCGATTACAGCTGCCATGGAGGATTTACCTTTCATGAGCAAGCCCAGACAGCAATCTTGCCTAGTCATGGTAGAGGTTGTTCAAATAAAGGGTTATAAGAATAGAGAGCCTTTACTCCTAAGAGTTCAAGCACCAGAAAATCCTAATTAATTCCGTCATTCAAGCTCAAACAGGTTGGTCTGAAATCAGCCTAGCTCCACTGGGAGCTGGTCTGCTCTGGCTGTTTGATGCTATTGTGAGGCTGGTGGCAGAATGACATCCCATCCCAACGGCAGCATAACACACTACCTCCCAGAAAAACCTAGTCTTTGCTCAGTCACCTCCATTACTTGCAGTAGGGCTTATTCACATTGTGAACTACAGTAGTTCCCTCCCTCTTATCCGTGGTTTCTGTTTTTGTGGTTTCAGTTATCTGTGCTCAACGGCAGTCCAAAAATATTAAGTGGAAAATCCCAGAAATAAACAATTCATAAGTTTTAAAACTGTGTGCTTTTCTGAGTAGCGTGATGAAATCTTGCTCCCCGTCTCACCCCCTCCCACCCTGGATGTGAATCAGCCCTTTGTCCTTCTAGCCATCTTGGTTATCAGATCCACTGTCACTGTATAGCAGTGCTTGTATTTAAGTAACCCTTATTTTACTTAATAATGGCCCCAAAGCACAAGAGTAGTGATGCTGGCAACTTGGATATGCCAAAGGGAAGCTGTAAAGTGTATGTATGTATGTATGTATGTATGTATGTATGTATGTATAGGAAAAAAACAGAATATATAGGGTTCATTACTACCCTCAGTTTCAGGCATCGAGTGGGGGTCTTGGAACATATCCCATATGGATAAGGGGTGTGGACAAAAAAGGGTTCTATTGAAAGTAACCTCACAGAGGGATCTGATCATAAATTCCTAACTGGGCAGGTCATGGTGGGTCACACCCCAGGCACATAACTTCCCTGGTAAAAGAATTATCTTTGCCTTAAGCAAGCTCTGTCCATCGTGCTTGTGCATCTAGGTTAACACACCTTTGAAATGCCAGAAGTAATAACCCTTATGAGAAGTAACCACCCTCAAGAGAGGACATAATCTTTTTCACTATCCTGTAATGCAATCCGCACCTTGCTTTCTCTCAACTTCATGTACTCTTCCTTAAATTCCATCCTTAATTTCAAATGCATAAAAGAAACTGCAAAATTGTTATTCTCCAGACCATTTGAGATCTTGCTTCCTGGAAATTGTCATCCATTTTCACTCAAATAAACAAAATAAAAATACAAGTTTGGATGTTCTTACATTGACAGTGAGGACTACTGTACCTGTAGCATTTTTTTATCCCCAGAGAATTTCACTTTGCCACAGAACACTGATCTGAGGCTTCACCCGTTACAAATCCAAGGAATGTACACAATACCCAATAACCAGAAGAATCACGGCAATTTATTTCAAAGTTGGATTCAGTAAATATACAGAGGGTGCCAAAAAGGTGTATACACATTTTAAGAAAGGAAAACTGTATTAAAATTGTAATACTCAATATATACCGATAACAAAAGAGGACTACAAGTCATGGTTGACTTCTGAAATTACAAGAGGTGCTCAAAGTGGTTACCATCAGCATAATTTTAATACAGTTTTTTCCTTTCTTAAAATATGTATACATTTTCTTGGCACCCTCTGTATATGAGTACTTACATCCAAAGCCCTTTAGACCAAAGCAGCATTACCTTGTGTCACCCACGGCGGTAGCAGAGTCCACTGAGACGCAGTTCCTGCTCTCAAGGCACTTAGAGTCAAGTGTGTGTAGAGGTGTCAAGAACTGTGAAGTGTCCAAGATTTTACCCTACTTGCAAGCTAGCAATTTAGCCTCCCGTGGTTTCATAGGTTCATAGATTCTGGCAGAAGACATGAAACTCGAAGGCCAAAGACAAAGGACTTTATTACTTGGGGCACAGGAAGGAGCATAAGCTTCATGTACAAATCAGCTCTCCCTGCCCTCTAAGTTCCACAAGGATGACGCAGACCACCCTGGGTAGAAGCTGTGTACACCATGTGTTTATGTCACAGCTGAGGAACCCTGAGTTCAGGAAACTCCCTGTCTTATAAGGAGCTGCTAACAAGCCTGTCCAACCATTTCCCCAGAGAGAGACAATAGTATGGTTCTCAAGAAATAAAATCTGCCCTCTGCCTTCTAAAGGGAGACACTACCTCTAGTTCCTAAGGATGAAAAGATAGTTTGAGATCAAACCTGTCACAAAACCTGCAGAAACACCATGGAGGGTTGTCCCACAACAAAGGATGGGAATTTCAGGAGTTGCAAGTACAATGTTCAATGTAAGCACAGAGAACTATGGGCACAGTCAGACAGAGAAAACACATGTGCTAAAGTTTGAAAGTAGGACTTAACCAAAATGAAAAAGCCATTAGGTCAAGGACAGGAAAGCAAAATTCTAGACAGAGTCACGGGCAAAGCCATACCAGGGCTTGAAGTGGCAAGAATCATTTGGAAACCACAAATAATTAAGTAAGGCTGGAAAACCGTACAGAAAAATTTAAGACATTGGTCTAAAGATGTTGGCTGGAGTCAAATGCTGAAGGTCTTAAAAGTAGCAAGTGAGGAGGAGTCGAGGGCGGCTAGGAGCAACATTTCTAACTTGAGGAACTGGGAGGACAAAGATTCCACTCATTGTGGGAAGGATTACAGGAAGAGGGGAAGGTGTGAGAGTAAAGAGGATGGTTCAATTTCAGATAAGTCTGAGGAGCCAGGGGCCACATCTAAATGGATTTGTCCAATAGACAGTTATGCAGCCTAGGAGAAAGGTCTGGGTAGGAGACACTGGCATGAAAATTTTAGTTTTAATTATGATTAACCGTGGGCGTGATGAAAGTCAATGAGAGATGGGGTAGGCAAAAAAAAATAGTAGAAGCCTTTGGAGCATTGGTGTTTCAGGGACAAGCAGCAGAGGAGCTAATGAAGAAAATTGACAAAGACTGTCCAGGAGGTTAAAAGAAAACTGGGGAGGGAGTATTTTCCTGGAAGCCAAGGGGGAGAGCCCTAGGTAGAAGAGGAAGTGATCAACAGTGTCACATCCTGAGAAGCAGTCATGTGGGGTAAAGACAGAGTATTAATTACTATTACTTAACAGCTTAGAACAACAAATACTTTATTATCTGAAAGTTTCTGTGGGTCAAACATTAGGGAGTGGCTTAGCTGGGTGGTTCTGGCTTAGGGCCTCTCTGGGGCTGTAGTCTTCTGAAGGGCTGACTGTGCTCAAGGATTTGCTCCCAAGATGGCTCCCTCAGGTGGCTCTTGGCAAGAGGCCTCAGTTCTCACCAAAGGACCTCTCCATAGGGCTGCTTGAGTGTCTTCATGACATGGCAGCTCCCAGACCAGATGATCCAAGAGAGAGAGAGACTGAAGCCACAATGTCGCATATGTTCCAGCCTCAGAAATCGCACTGTCATTTCTGCTTTGTTCTATTTGTTAGGAGTGAGTTACTAAGACCAGCCCACACTCCAAGGGAGAGGAATTCGGCTCCACCTTTTGAAAGGAGTGTCAACGAATTTGTGGATATATTTTAAATCACCACAGTCAATGCTCTGGTCACATTATTTACATTTCTCCCACACAGAAAATACACTAACTCCCTCCCAGAACCTCCAGCCTTTACAGCATCAGCAAGAGGCTTCTTAGGTGTAGTTCCTTAAGTGCAGGAACTCCAGTACAATTTCCTCTTGATCTGAAGGCCTATGAACTAAAGAGACAAACTGTCTGACCCACACATACACATATCAAACACACACAGGGTTAGAGGTGCAAGATAACTGCTAAAGACACCACTGATCAGAAGAGGGCAGGGGGAAACAGGACTTACCTGGGAGTC